TGGGTTCAGCTTTTAGGGTTTAGGGTTTTTAACCCTGAACCCTGAACCCCGAATTCTGAACCCTGAACCCTAAACCCCGACCCACAATAGGTCCAAACATCCGATTTGGGCCTTTTCTGCCAGGTGGTCTTCAGGGTGGGAGTAAGTAGTCTGGGTCCCACTGCCCCAGACCGAAAAAACCGCAAGACCTAAAGGGATTTGGTTAAGTTTAGCCAAGGTTTCGGGTGTAGGGTTTAAGGTTTAGGGCTTAGGATACCCTAAAACCCTGAAGCCCTTAAACCCGTGTTCAGCCGAAGGAGGGTGTGTCCCATCCAATCGCCTGAGCCAAAGCAATAAAGACTGCCTTTTTCGGGAGACCCTAAACCCTAAACCCTAAACCCTAAACCCTAAACCCTAAACCCTAAACCCTAAACCCTAAACCCTAAACCCTAAACCCTAAACCCTAAACCAGAGTCTGAGTCCCATCCTTCCCTTTTGCAAGACCTATACACTGGGCTCTTACTTGGGTGCCCTTTTGACTTAGTAAGTAGGGTTAGTAAGGTGGGTTATGTGGAGTATAATGGGGTTTCTGGGGGTTTAGTAGACTTACTAAGTCAAAAGAGCTTCCAAGAGGGTTGAGGGTTTAGAGGTTTAGGAGTTAATCCGGGTTGAGGATTTATGCCTATGTTGCAGCTGCAGCAGCTCGCGACGTGTACGCTGCGTCGAGCTTGCATTGGCAGCTGCTGCACACGAAGCAGTCGTTGCACCAGTGCTGACCATTGAAGGCTCCTGTGTCATACCTAGAGTAACCTACCCATAGGCCCTCAAAACAATGAAACAAATGCCAAGAACCATGGCACATCTCCCTTCTTTCAGGGTACATCGGGTTCACTTTTGGGATGTTCCCCCGTTTACTAACAGTCCGTAATAGGGACTATAATAAGGTGTACTATAATCTCTATTAAGGACTGTTAGCATGAGCGGCCCTAAACCCTAAACCCGAAAGCCTAAACAACCCTAAACCCTAAACCCTAAACCCTAAACCCTAAACCCTAAACCCTAAACCCTAAACCCTAAACCCTAAACCCTAAACCCTAAACCCTAAACCCTAAACCCTAAACCGAAACTCGGTCAGTCAAGGCTGCATCTGTCTCAAGACTGGCTTGTCTGCAAGGATTGCTGCCAACCCTACCCTCGCCCCTAACACAAAAAACTGAAACCAAGGTTTAGGGTTTAGGGTTTAGGGTTTAGAGCTTAGGGTCTAGGGTTTAGGGTTTAGGGTTGAGGGAAGTTAGCTGTAAAACGAGGAGAACCCCTGGGGCCGAACACAACCCTGCAGCCTAATCTAAGGTAATTAGGCTTCAGGACGTTTAAATAGGGGCACAAAATCTCAGATTTCTTGTCCCTCAAGGCCTCCTGTTGTCATGGGTCGCTTGCATTGGGAGCACACTTCAACGGCGCACTGTTCACACAAACGCTTGCCGTGCTTCTTGTGAACACGCCTCGGCGGCGGTTTAGGGGGCGTAGTGATGTCCAAACTTCAAACCCAAAAGCCCTTAACTCTAAGGTCTCTGAAGTCCTAAACCCTAAGCCCTAAGTTTTGATTCCTGAACCTTGATCCCCAAAGAGCTCCTAAGTCCTGACACCTAAGGCCCGTAACCCTTACACTCCTGAGTCCCAACAGCGAGTCTGAAGGATTACTTCGAAAGACATTGGGTTCAGGGTTTGGGGTTCCAACCCGCAGTACAAGCTGCTGCCTTTCTCCTGCATCCCCAATAGAATTTATAAGTCTATCATGATGCCATACACTGAAAAAAACGTAGTTGAGGGTTCAAAATTTAGGGTTTAGGGTGTTAAGGTTTTAGGGTTTTAGGGTTTACTCAGGAGCCAAGCTCGAGCAGCCCCCCTACTTAACTTCGAGCAACCGGCTCCAACCGAACCCGTCTGCTACCACAACGGGTCTAACTGCAATAGAATAGAATCTCCTTAAAGGAACCCCACAAAAGGGTACCCCTCTCTTCGGAAACCCCCCCATATAGGGGGTCCAGGATTACTTCCTCGACTGCCCCGGCTCGGTTCTCGCCCTGAAGCCCTGCACCTTCATCCCAAAACCCTAAAACCTGCAATGTTTCGTAGGCCTCGGGATTGCAAGAAGCTTTCAATTCAAGCCGACCTTCTTCTCAGACCCCGAACCATCCCCAAACCCCGCATGCCAAAAGCTCCTTTCCAAAGCTCCCCTTCACAATGCCATTGGGGTTTGAGGGTTTAGGGTTTCGAATTTAGATTTATGTTAGGCTATCAACCCTAAACCCCCGAAACCCTAAACCCCAAACCATGTTTCGGTTTCAGGGATTACCAGCTATAGAAGTGCCGGAGCGAATCCCACATGCTAGTGGCTCTTCTTAGTACGGAATGTGGGAAAGTAGGTACACTAAAAATCCCTTGAAGGGTATATATGGGGGGATATAAGGTGGTTAATTTCCTCATTCCCTACTAAGGACCAGTAAGTTATGTATGAGTTCCTTCGGAGGTAGAACTGCGAAAGCAACATACAACCGAGATACACCTAGCGACTAGAACGCAAAACAGCGCCAAGCGCCAAATCCCAAGCGCTAAACTACCATTTGCTTAAAAATAACCCCCCCTCCAACAAACTAAGATAATTAGTAGTCCCTACATGCCCTTAGAAGGAAGAACATGTTCCATGTGTTCTTTTGTTTTTTTTTTTTTTTTTTTTGGGGGGGGGGTGGGAGGGGGGGGAGGGGTTCTTAAGCAAATAGTAGCTACAGCACAGCACGCGCCCAAAACCTCCGTGAAGCCAGAAACTGCTCTAGGACCACTGGACACCAGTTGGGATTGCACCATAGGTCTGGGGCATCTATTCAGTTATTTACGTCTATGTATATGTGTAGAAATATATATATATATATATATGCTACCCCCCCCTGGAGAATCTACCTTTAAAGGTTTTACCGCGTCGTGTATGGTTGAACGACCACGAGATTAACTTCCAAGAATTACATTTTCAGGTCTTATGGCGTTGTGTGTGGTTGAACTATTGCAAAATCAGATGCCATTTTCAGATCTTATGGCATTGTGTGTGGTCGAACTATTGCGATGTCGGATGCGTGAATTTTACCTGCGAGCGCGGTTGGTCTGGATTGGATAGAGAATATGGACTACCGAGACGCCATATCCTGTGGACGAAGGAAGCCTACGACAAGAACTTTCTCATGACATGGGAGCATAGCTCTCCGCATGCCAGCCACAAGTCCTTACTGCGATTCCAGTATTCATACTGGGCGCTTCGCAGCTTGGCTCTCAGCAAGGAGCTACCGGCTTTCGCGTGCTGATTCACATGCGCACGTTCCTTTAGGAATCTCCAACACCGGTCTATGACCTGGGTGCCGGACTTCACTGTGATTGTCTTGTTCTTTGTGCCGGGCAGCTTATGCTTGATGATGCGGACATAGTGGGGCTGCCCCCAACGCGCCTTCCCATTGACCTTGACCTGCTTTTTGCAGTGCACCACCCGATCATGAAGAACCCCGTCGAGCTTGAGCTTGTAGCTTTTGGCTGAGTCAGTATGCAAGATAATCTTGCGACCGGACAAAAGCTTGGCACCCATGGTCTTCCACTCGACCTTTCGGATTGCTCCGGGGCCCGGGGCACGCTTTACCGTGATCTTGGGCGTGAGCTTGCACAAGGTCAACGTCTCAGGGCGGCCTCGCTGGACTACACCCGCCCATTGCTCCCACATCATTGTGGCCTTTGGGGACTTGATGAGGTGCTTGTACTCCATGTCTTTAGAGATGTCCCGCTTGTCGAACGTAGCCTCGTCGGCTTCCACGTCCTTCCAGGTTTTACCGTCCCCCCATTTGGATGTGCTTCTCCTTCTGCTCGACGAAATCTTTTCGGATTCGACAAAGCTTGTACTCCATGTCCTCGATCCACTTATGGTTGACGTCGAGCAACAAGTGGATGGTGCTCTGAGGAACCTTGTGTAGCTTGAGAAGTAGAAGCGCGGACTGGAGCTGTAGCGACCTGGACCGATCACCGTGCCCTTCTGTGAAAAGAGGATGTAGATGATGGGGGTTCATGTGCAGCTGACATGTCTTCCTACTGCATCGATGCTTGAGAAGTCCGGTTCGCTTTTCGACGAACAGCTTTGACAAGGTTCCTTTCGAGCAAGAGGGGCATCGCTTGCCATCCCACTTTGGAAGTATCTTGTCCGCAATCAAGAGCCGGATGATCCCATGATCCGAGGCTTCAAGAAGTTCAGGGAGAGTTCGCTTCCACTTGATCTGTTCCTTGCGTTGTCCACGAGAAGGCACTGCATTTTTTCCCGAATGATTTCATCACTGCTACACGTGTCTGAACCAAACGCATCTTGCCCTTCTTCGCGATGACGGCACTCTTGGAGGTCTTGGTGGGCTTCGTGGTCTTTCCCATTGCATAAGGCCAAGACAAGAAATGGAGGCAATGACGCAGAAAGCACTTGATCGGTAAAAACCTGGACCTGACGAGGCCACATACACCCATGCACTGTAAACGTGACATGCGGGCAGCAGTGCACATGACACCAACATCTTGCACGCACTTCTTTTCATTTTGGCGACGTTTTGACCATTCGCGATGTTTCTTGGAGTGATGGAGCCTACGCTTAGCCGGATGAAGTCGAGAAGCAAAACCGGCATGGACGAAGTGACGGCGGTGTCGTCGATGCCATATCACGATCCGAATCAGCATAAACCTGGATGTCACTGTTTCGTCTGAGTGCATAGCCTTTGCTGCCTCTTCATCTGCGTCATCGTCCTCGGACTTCTTCATCATTTTAGGCGGGGGCGACTTGATGACGGGACTCTGTGCAGCGTTGGATGATGCCGGGCGCGAACGAGGTGTAGGTGGGTACTCTACGGGTGCTGTGTCGGCTTCTTCTGCCCATGAGTCGTAGGTGGCTCCACGACGCATGTACTCCTTTTCTTCAGAGGTCGCCAGCAGATCACTGATGAAGTCAGCTTCTACCTGCAGCTTTTCCTCGTAACCACTGTACTTGGCATAGATGCCATCCTTGTACTTGGAGTGGAAGCTCTTGTGGTAAGCCAATCTTCGGTAACTCCACCTCCTTCGAAACGATGTATGGTTTGCGACTGGTGCTCACTTGCGACACGGACGTACACACCTTTGTGACCAGCGATGATGACGGAAGCCCGTTTGAGAATTGCCATCATGTGGGGCATGGGCGCATCGCCAAGGGTTGAGGAGATCATTTTCTTGAACTGCTTCCAACTGATGCTGTTGCGGTAGGAGAGATCATCTGGCTCATCATCCTCCTCCCACTGGTTGTTAAGCAGAATCTTGACCTGGTTGCGAACAAACTTCGCGGCTCGGTATCGAGCGTCAACTAGACATGTCTCACCCACGTCCAGGAAGGACTTGATGTCTTCGAATGATATAGAAGAAAGGATAGTGTCATCCAAGATAACGGGAATGTGTAGTTCACCTGGGCACTCCCGAAATCCGTCGATCTGCTTGGATCGGCGCCATCCCACCACGACACCTTCGATGTTGCGAGATGCCAGGTGGTGTCTGGCAACGGCCACGATGATGGCAAGAGGAGTTTTGCCAATCCCTGCTCTGCCAAGAATCATCAAGCCATGCGTGGGCATAGTAGGGACAACGAGCGGCAGGACCCTGTCCATGATGGTGGGGTTCAAGTCGGGGACCAGTAAGGGGAAGAAATGCTCGGCTTCTGCTTGGGAATTCCCAAGGCTGCGATTGGAGCATGCTCGGCTCACAATGTGTAGAGGCCATCCGAGAATAGGTGATTCCTTGTCACGTTCATTGAGTAGAGACCACAGGAACTGTTCATTGTTGGAGTTCGCCACGGGCGCATTCTTGTTGATGTAGGCGATGCCCTCGCGGAGCTCATCGGGTGTTACATCCCATGAACCACCGCTTGCATTTCCATCCATATCCCCGTTCTTGGGTGGGCGGCGAAGTTTCTCTTGAAGAGATTGTGTTAGCCATTGCTCACCCTTGATCTTGGAAAGCGTTACTAGGAAGCCTCGCTTCACGAGGTCGGAATTGGTGGCGATCTTGTAGTTCAAGATTTTGACGCTGCCCCCGCGACAGAACGCTTTGACTACACCCCAAGGCAAGGGCACCGACGAGTGGAAGAACTGCAGGACGGTGTTGGCGGCGCTGTCTACAACTAGCTGTAGGTGACAACTTTCACCTAAAGCATCGCCTGGACTGACGAAGCCGGGTAAGCGACCCACTACGATTTCATCTGCACACATAACCTCTCGGATTTGTGTTAGGCGCTCTGGGGTAACGTTCTCAACGATATGGAAGAACTCCTTGAATTTCTTCCCCTTTCCTTGCACTTCAATCAAAGGCAGATCAGAGATGCAGTGCTCACCCGTGGCGACGACGACGTGGACGGGCTTGTCGACATACTTGATGTAGGTGTGTTGGGCGATCGCGATACACTCTTGCATGGCAAGTTAAAGAAGCCAAGAATCTATAACACCAAAGGTAACTAACTGAGGAGCCTGACACAAGACACCATATATACTGGCTTACTGTCAGATGGGCTGTTTATAAGCAAGCGAGCTGCTTATAAGCAAGCGAGCTGTTTATAAGCACGCGCCTTTTGTTTTCAACTGCAATCCAAAGCAGGCAGCCGGTCTTAAGGAAGATTCTGTCATCTGCTGCGTGGACTCCTTTGCTTACCTGTTTGAGTCCCACTGTGCCTTAGAGGCCTTGATACTCTGAAGCAAGTCGTTTGCGATTCTACGCTTCTTGGCGTTGTTTTGCGAGTCACGCAAGATATGTACACAAGAAGCCGCCAAATCATGCCAATCACGTAATACACGGTGTCGGGCTCGCTTGATGTGTCACGACGAAGAAGAACTCGACGAGGAATCGCCTTCATTCTCTGCGGCTGCGAGCGCTTGGCCGGTAGGAGACGGCGGCGTATCATGTGGTGCGTTCTCGTGTGTGGTAGCCGAGGGTGGTGACGGTTCGTTTGCGATGGCGAGCGACTGCGTTGATAAGCCCGGGCCGGTAGACGACGACGATGTGGTAGCCTCTGGTGATGACGCACGCCCCGGTTCATCTGTGATGGCGAGCACCTGCTTTGACGAACTGGCTTTAGCTGCTGCACCACGTTTTTTGGTTTTCAACCACTGGCGAAGTGCATCTTCTGCCAACTGAGTCCAGCCGCCCTGGGACCCTGGTACTAGGGAGAACTTGTGCTGGAGATAGATCACATGTGATTGGACTTGGTGTGATGTCAAGTCTTGCTTCGTGGGATGTGTCTCGAGGGTGCCACTCTTGATTTCCTCGACTATGGTAGAGATGACCTGTGGAGGAGACGAGGGATTAGGCATAGAAGCTGTGGATGCGGAAGTGCTTGGAGTGAAGGAGCTCTGAACCAATTCAAGTTTGCAGACACCGTTTTCCAAGGAGATGAGGCCTGATACCGCTCCCACGCGCTTCATGGCAACTACTTGTTCACGTACACTTCTCGCTCTTTAACCAAATGCTTCAGTAACATTTTCATGTTCACAGGTCTTGGGCTCTACTGAGTAAGATGAGGGTATCTGGTCATGGATGATCTTTCATTGGGGGGGGGGGGGGTGTCACAGAGGTCCTGGGGCCCCCTCCCCTCCTCCTGCTTATAAGCAACCCCACTGCTTATAAGCAACCCAACTGCTTATAAACAAGACACACACTAAAATAAAAAAAAAAAAAACTTACACCTCACTCTCAGCATATAGGAGAATGATGTAGGAAATCATATCCTACACATATATAAGGACGAAAACCGTGACTTAAACGAAAAAATAATTTAAACGAAGAAATTAAAATTACAGGTATCTTAAACCCCCGCCCTCTGGAGGTAGATTCTCCAGGGGGGGGGTACCATATATATGTGTGTGTATATATTGCATATATATATATATTATGCACATATTGATATCTAAGATTTATGAATTTACTTATGTTTTGTTGTGGGGAGGGAGAGTACCCTGAAAGGACCATGGCTTAAAAAAAAAAAAAAAAAAAAAACTGCCGACCAGCTGCTGCACAGGCTCACCGCACTCCTCGAGAGGGTTTAGGGTTTAGGGTTTAGGGTTTAGGGCTCTCGGGTGTTTCTGAGGACCTCAACAGCCTTCAATCATCATGGAGTTTCAGGGCCAATAACCCGATTTAGGGTGTAGGGCCTAGTAGGGTTTAGGGTTTAGGGTTTAGGGTTGAGGGTTTAGGGTTTTTGGGTTTTAAGGGTTTTGGAGTTTTAGGGCTTTAGGGTTTTAGGGTTTAGGGTCACGGTTTAGGGGGGCTATTGGGCTCTTTAAGGAAGCAAGGGATCACATTCAGGGACCATGGAGCTACGCGTCTCATCCCCCCCTGACCTCTAAGCACTAAATACCTTTAAGACCCCAAACCCTCATCCCACTGACCCCAAACCTAAACCACTGAAACACCCAATCCCTTCATCAGAAACGCCCCAGGGCAAACGCGTGGGACCCTGCTAGTCCCTTTCAAGACTTGGTCTCAGGGTAGTTACATGATCCCTGAGTACGGGCCCTGAAACGTGTGCCCCTTATATAACCCACTTTATACCCTGTACAACCCAAGGGCCCATACTTCAGAACCCTTTAAGGAGGCAAGGGACCATATTAAGGGCCTTGGAGAAGGAGGGTTTAGGGTTGAGGGTGGGCATGCAGGGCTTTAGAGTTTGACGGGGTTCTGTGGTCTGGAGGCTTTGGGATTTCAGGTTTGCAGGGGGCTCTAGGGGTTTAGGGGTGCGACATTTTGAGGGACTTAGTCAGTGGGCTGAGGGGCTTGAAAGGTGTTGCGTGGGTTTAGGGGCTAGGCTGCCCAGTAACCTGGGATTCAAAAGGGTGCCCTTTTTTGCTTAAAGGGGTTAGGGAACGTAAACCCCTAGAAGGGGAATGAGGGTACTACAGGGCAAGGGAGTCAGAGTTTGGAACTTGAGGGGAGGTTTGACTCAATGCCAAGCACAGCGCACCTCATGAAACCTGGAGATTTGAAAAGCCCCAAGCTTTCATCCTCGAACCCTCCCCCTTATAAACTATAAACCTTACAACCTTAAAAGTTCGATTCCAGTCCCCGACGTCTCTTAGGGCTGCGTTATGCAGCCTAAACCCTAAAACGCTAACCCGCACCCCTAAACCCTAAACCCTAAACCCACACACCAAGTCCTGGCAGGTGAGGCACTGCGGGTGATACACGTGGCCATCGAAGCGCATGTACCTTGGGGGAGTGTCCGGGATTGAGTCGTGACCTTCGGGCGTTTAACCGTTTACATTTTTTGCAATAAAAAGAAATAGCAAGATAAAAAAATAAATACATGACTGAATAAATAAATCCATAAATAAAAAATATGTATGTATATATATATATATGTATACAGCTAAAATGAGAGTCCGTGATTTCAAACAAAGTTTTCGGGTTCCGGGTTTAGGGTTCAGGCTGGAATGTAGGCCATATGTGCAATTCAAATGAACCTTCTATCACGCAGGGGCTCTGCGCAGCTTGCCGCAAAGGGGACTGCAAGTCGGGGCTTGTCATGGTTCAAGGGCAGGCGAGGCCATTTCAGGACTCCAAGAAGGTAGCGCGTGTGCAGAAACCTTCGCCATAGGGCTACATCGTCTAGTTCTCTGGAAAATGTCACCCGGACAGGCAGACTCTCCGCTCTGGGGACAAAAAAAGCACCCGCGCATCAGGAGCATCAGCAGACCTTCGTTTCTCCAAAAACCGGGACGCCAAGCTGCAAACGAAGACTGCTCAAAAATTCAGCACCAGCCCGGGACTAGCTTTGACATCTGGACCAATTTTGCCCCCAACCCCCTATACAGATCAGCTTACGTTGGGTATTGAACGAAAGCTCCCCCCAAGTTTGAGGGGAGAGCTTTCGCAAAATGGAAAGGTTAAACTTACTGGTCTCTTAGTTGGGAATCAGGGAAGGGGGTACCCACCAGAATCCCTTCCAGGGTATATGCAGTGGGGGTTTCAGTACCTGTAACTAGAAACCCTAAGAGCCAATGCCTGAAGGATGCCTTCGTCTACAGCTCAGAGGTTACAAGGCCCGTAAACAGTGAAGGGTATGATTGCACAAGGCCCAGAGTAAGCAAACAACCAGTCGCTCTGACTGCCATACCCTTCTTACGACTAAACCCTAAACCCTAAACCCGAAACCCGAAACCGAAACCTTATAAACCCTAAAACCTAGACCCTAGACCCTAAACCCTATAAACCCTAAACCCTACACCCTATAAACCCTAAACCCGAAACCCGAAACCTTATAAACCCTAAACCCTAGACCCTAGACCCTAAACCCTATAAACCCTAAACCCTAAACCCTAGACCCTAGACCCTATAACCCTAAACCCTAAACCCTAAACCCGAAACCCGAAACCTTATAAACCCTAAACCCTAAACCCTAGACCCTAGACCCTAAACACTATAAAGCCTAAACCCTATAAACCCTAAACCCTAAACCCTAGACCCTAAGCCCTATAAACCCTAAACCCTAAACCCTAAACCCTATAAACCCTAAACCCTGAACCCAGAAGCCTCTCCGAAGCTGCCAAACTCCCAAAAGTTGCACCAGGCGGCTTCCCATCAAGCTCCAAGGCGCAGGCGGCACAGCGCATCGAGGGGCGCATCGTGAGGAAGGTGACGTTCTCCGGAACAGAAGGTTTGGGGTTTAGGGTTTAGGATGTAGGGTTTAGGGTTTGGGGTTTAGGGTGTAGGCAGGGCTAAGATGGCTTGAGATCGAATTTGGCGGCTCGCTTGATTTTCTGGAATCTGTTCCGGAGAGAGGCCCAAACACTGCTTTTGAGCCCAGCAGATTGCGTCGGAAGGACCATTCTTAGGGTAGCCACATGGTCCGTTGGTATGGGCCCTAAAACGGCGACCCCTGAGAAGCCCCTTATGCAACCCAAGGGCCCATACCTCAGAACCCTCTAAACGGAGGTAAGGGATCAATTGAGGGCACATGTAACCACCCTTAGAACCACCCTAAACCGCGCACCCTGGCAACAGGCTGTCGAGCTCGGTGCTGGGGGTGGACTCTGTCTTCGGGGATTGTGGCCAGATGCTTTTAGGGTTTAGGGTTTAGGGTTTAGGGTTTGCTCTCGTCGTCACCTCGTCATCCAGCATGCTTGGTTTAGGGCAGATGGATTCACACGAAGTCATCTTTAATAATTAAACATCACTCCCCCTTCCCCCTTCCTACTGCCCCCCCCAAAAAAAAGAAACAAGAAAAACACACACACACACAAAATTAAACAAAAACAAAAAAAAACAAAACAAAACAAGAAGCCCCCCCCCCCCCCAGCCGTCAACGAAGTTGTGCTTTTCTAGGGGATGTGGATTGAAACCCTGTACTTCCAAGCTACCCTAACCCTACTTGGAAACCCTTTTACTTAATAAAGAAGGGTTAGTAAGGTGGGTTATGGGGATT